AAACTATGTTTCAGGCAAAATTCCATACAGACTTTTACATCTTGGACAAGTATCCTTTGGCAGTGCGCCCGTTCTACACCATGCCCGATCCGCAGGATCCAAAAACCTCAAACTCTTACGACATGTTCATGCGGGGCGAGGAAATTCTGAGCGGCGCCCAGAGGATTCACGATCCCCAGTTCCTGACGGAGCGCGCCAAACATCACGGCATTGGTAAGTGTTCTCTCTAAGTGTGGTAAGAAAGCTCTTGTGAGATGGTTGTTTTCCAGATATTCCCAAAATCGCCGCCTACATAGACGCCTTTAAGTACGGTTGCCCGCCCCACGCCGGGGGCGGCATTGGCCTGGAAAGGGTGGTGATGCTCTACTTGGGCCTGGACAATGTTAGGAAAACTTCGATGTTCCCGCGGGACCCCAAGCGAGTAACGCCTTAAAAACCCGCTGAACAAGTAGGGCAAAATAGATTTTTTTGCGCGAGGCAACATTTTCTTTACCACTCCCGGTCCTGAAATTCCAAGTAAATTAACACCAACGAATGCAACTTTTTAAACATTTATATTTTCCAAATCTAAAAATTGAATATTATACTCATCTAAAACACTAGACCATTACTCTTGTATACAAATTAAAAACTTAAACATTAAAGCGCACATACTAACGTAAAAAAATAAGATTCAGCCAATCCTCAAGTACACCCAGTCCCTGCATCGAACACAACTAAAAAGCATCTAACTTTGATATTTTCGCTAACAGGATCAAGTGCTTACTAAGCAGTCTAATCGGTCGCATTTGGAACTGACTTGAAACCAACTCAATCTGCAGAGGTTTTAGTGCTTTGCCAGGCGAGTAATAAATAATAAGCGCCCTCAATATCCAGAGACTGTCATACCAAGGAGTAGCGGCTCATAAAACACTGACCAAGTATGTATTGCGATAGGGGGTGTTTCAGATAAAATACTGAGTTAAAATTCGCTTCCGTACATTGAAATACATCTTAATATATACAAAGAAAACCTTCCTTCCTATCGAGCCACTATAGAATAGATCCGACTGGTCAAAGTTAATTGACCGGATAGCAACATCAACCACCCACCAAAAACACGAGATATAAATCAGACCGGTGATAGTTTTATTTGAAACACTCTTCCATTTGAAACGAACCGAAAAAAGTGCACAAGTAGTTAAGTTACTAACGTTTAGTTAATCCATCGTCTTATATTAGTGGATTATCAAGTAAGATCAAGCCCCGCTCTGAATGTGCTTAGATATTTACACAAGAAATCGACTCACTACACACTTATATCTATTAGAAAGTGAACTGCATCGTATTATTGAGACGCTGAGTCAGCGGGAAGCTATGCAGTTTCCCGTGTCCCACTAATTGAAACAAACTGATAAAACGTGAAACCCTCTACAAGTTATCACCAAAATTTAGCACGTTTATTTATGGTACATTATGGGTAATTTTCTGTTTAGATGCATTTTTTAAATTATTTTTAATAAATATACATTACAAGTGTGTCGAGGGGGCGGCTGGGAGTCTTTCAAAGCAAAAACTTGCCCAATAGAATGCCAACCAATCCTGAAACACACAAGACTCGATTACTATTAGCTGCTCTTCGGGCGGATTAAACTGAAAACACCTGGGCAGCAAGTGCTTGGGTATTTGCGTCCAACATCTGTATGATTTGGTTAAATATACAGGGTGGAAGCGGCGAGGTATAAATTGAAATTCTTCGGAATTGAAAAGTATAAAAAAAAATTGTTACTCACCTACAACTATAGCTATCGCGATGAAATACATTGTCGGCGGTTGCTCGGCAGGCGGCGCATATCTATTGGGAGCAGACAAGCCTTTCTCGTCCTCCAGTTCCCATTTCTCGTTTTTCGCTGCAAACAGCGCTTCTCGTAGTTCACTTTCAATTTCCCGCAATCGCTGTATCTGTAAAAAACAGCCCCTTTAAGGAAACAGCCCCACCATTCGCCCTCTGATCTGGTCACCTCCTTAGTAGCCTTTTGCAGTTCGACAGAGTCACCAGAATGGGATAGCGAAGCCTCCTGTGCCGTCTTGGGGGTGTCATTGACTTCCGAGTGAACAGTCGCCCTTTGGGCTTCGCCCGCTGTGGAGCCGCTTTGCTGTTCTTGATCGGGCATCTCAAACACGCACTTCAGCTTCGAATCCATCAGCTGCTCAGGACTGATCTCTTTCCAGAGCGTTTCCAAATTGGCGTCGCCGGTTTCCGGAGCGAACACAGTCTGCACCATGAACTTGTGCTTGTTCTTCTCGTTGGGATCGTACCGGAATGGTTGCAGACAAACTGAAAATTTCCCATCAATATCGCCCTTGAACGTTGAATGGGCCTTTCAAACTTACTGGCAATTTGGGCACTTTGTTCGGCATTTATCAAGCCCGAGTTGGGCCGCACGCAGTACTTCTTAGGGGCTGTAGTCTTGATTTTGAACAGCACTTTCTTGTCGGTGGGATTGGTCAGCTTCATATAGCTGGTCACTGGCTGGCTGAAGGGCCCTAGGATGGTCAGAAAAATCGTTAAATACGTGCGTCATTGCCACTCTCTCTCTATTGGTAATAGCTTCCCACACATTTTTTTAATTGCACAAGAGAACGAGGCGATTTGGTTTGTTGCTTGCTTGATGATGAGCCGGTCTATTTTTATTACATCATGCCCAATATTTGGCGAAAATATCGCCTGGATTAATTGATTTTAATCTTGCACGCTCAGACCTCTTGGTATAGGCAGAACATCATCACTTTTAAGTGGATATTAGGTGTTAATGATGTGCGAACTCATTAAAAGTGCCTTGATCGTTCCGAGTCAGCTAGATTGTAAAGCTAAATTGAAGCTTCGTTGTAGACTAAATACTGCTGAATTCAAACAGCATAAAAAACATCAAACCCAGCCCAAAGAGCAAGGCCTAGACATGAATAGAACGAAATTGGCTTGAAAAAAGGGCAAAGCCCCACATTTGTGTCTAGTTCAGACTATTGAAGCTTCATTTGAAAATACTAGGCATGGGGCCGATGTAATAAGCGCAACAACGCTAGAGAATGTTGAGATGTAGTCAATTGGAACTTTGATGGATAATGGGAAACCTGAACGGGCAGCGCGATTCCCCAATTTTAAAATATGTTCAAGGTAAACGGTGCAACTTGCCGGTGCAAAAACATCTCGCAGGACTTTGGCTTCGCTCGCAAATTGAAAGCGTTTAATTAAAGTGGCCGTGTCAATTGAAAAGGGGTCAGAGAAACATGGTGGTTGGAAGCACTTATGGGGTTGCCGTGTGAAAACTGGTCTCGTCCTTAGGAAAATTGCGGCGATTTTTCTGATCGCGAAACAGCTGCCGGTTGGAAAATGTTCCGGTTTTCGTGCTCCCGACTGGCGAAAATCGGTGCAAAGGCAATATTTATGGCCAATGTTGGGGTCACATCGGGCCCGTCAAAGCCGATCGGCCAGCCGACTTACCTACAAACTTGAGCTCGTTTTGAGGCTCGATTTGGAGCACCTGCTCTTGCTTCAACATTATTCTATTTCTAGCACTGAAAAACCGACGTAAAACACACTAAAAATACTGAATTTTCCACTTTTCGATGACAGATTCCGGTTATACAGCACTTTCTGACAGGGGAGGTTAGACGCAAGCGCAAAGATGGCCGTAACTAGCTCAAAAATCATTCCTGTTGCCAAGTGCGGGAAATTTCAAAAACATCGGGAAAACTTCCACAGTGAACTTCAAAAGTTTTCCAACAAGCCTGCTTTTTTGAAACATTTTTGCCCAAAAACTCGCCTCTTTAAAGCGCCAAAATAGTGAAAAATCTTCCCCTAAAAGCTCCTAGATTTTAAGGAAACTGGAGTGAGTTTTCAAAAGGCGCTCTGGAGTTGGGCAACGGTGCAAACCTACACCAGCAGAAAACTACTTTACCAAGGCGCTTCCCTGTCACTTTGTCGGCCTGCTATTGGCCCGGTGCTGTTGTAATTGAGCGGCAGGTTGCGCTAAACGTCAGATCGTTAATTTTCTTGATTTTCTGGGGTTTTACCGAGCCGAGTTTTACGATTTTCGCGTAAGATATCTATTCGCGCGCCCCCGAATAGTTGGAGCATTTGTCCGCAGAGGCCGGCCGCATATAGGAAAAACGGTAAAATCATCGGAGCGCCGGGCGTCTTTAGGAAAAATCGACAATCAGACAGTTTTGCGCGTGTCTTGTTAGTGGCTGGTCGGGTTGTCGGAGAAATTCGTGATCTGTTTGGTTCAAAATGGCGTTCAATGGAGACGGGCCTCATGCGAAAAGACAGCGCACAGACACCGACTCGGCTAATAACAGGGTAAGTGGGGCCCCCTTTTATTTTTTGCGGCGGAGCCTCTGGCTTGTTAGGTTATGCGCTTCGTATGGGCAACAACCACAACACAATGTCAAGACATCCCCCAAGTGTCAGAATTCCTTGTTTATGTTTTTCTCCAGCGCTGTTTCCTAGTTTTCCATTTTTTTGAGCAGTGACGCAAAATTCACGCAAACAGTTTTTTTTCGCGACTTTTTCAAAAACCTGGTTTGCAAGTGTGAACCGCAACTGCAGTCTTTAACTGAAAAGGGCAACTCAGTTGATGATCACAACATGACAAGCGCGTTTTGGGGCGAAACACTAAAATGTTTGCTGAAAAAAATGCAATTTTTGGTTCTTTTTGTCTTAAGCACCACCATTTCTCTTAAACCGAAAAAATCAAGTAAAATTTGCATTTTTTTCCGCAAATATTTTTGTGTTTTGCCCCAAAGCTCTCTGGTCATGTTGCGATTATTTGCGTCAAACGAGGCAAGAACTGATATTTCGAGGGCGTCAGGAAGTCCCCCATGCATTTTTATCAATCATCATACAGGGTGATTTAAAAAACCTGTCTGATCGGCCAAGTGCAGTCTAAATAGAACAGCAAATGAAAGATGTATGACATAAGTGGTAAAATGTAAACAAATAGGAGGAGCTACGGTTTGAACAGGGGCGGACTCAGAAAGTTTTACTGAAAAAGACGCCTATTTCAGCCTCTATCCAAATGTTTTGCGCTTGATTGAGTCAGCAAGACGCTTTTCCATAAATTCCTTAGCCACAAAAGTCCCTTTTTTTCAAATTTCCAATAATTAGTTCCTCCAATAATCCTTTCTACTAGAATTTAAGAAATTTTGTTGTCTCCTGAATATTTTTGTTGCTGCCAAAATTATCTGAATATTTTGGGAACACCCTGTAAAACTCATTTCTGCTGCTTTTGACGAAACCAAATTTTTATCTATGCGAATGGCGAACATTTGGTCACATTTGGATGGGATTTTTTGATCCAAATTTCAAAAACTCACATCCGTGAATCATCATCAATCGATAGCGAAACAGTTGCCGAAACTTTTTCCTTAAAAGTCAAACATCTCAACATGATTGCATTGCATCGCGTCAACCTTGCCATGAAAGCAGGAGGGTCGATGGCCCCTCTTGAGTCAAGATTCAAGCGATCGGAAATTATTAATATAATGGGCGATGTTTCTTTTAAATTGACCATCAGCTGAACCATTCAATTGTGCATTAGATGCCAATGAGTTACGGTCGCTTTAGCCTGGGATGATCGCAAATTGCGCCTACTTAACAAGATATCAAGCTTCTTGTTTCAGCGAAATTTCTATCAAGTAGATGTTTGGTTCCTTTCATTTGGCCTGCGTTTAGGATCTAGATAAAGTCTGCCGGATTTCTCATACTTTAACGGAAATCCTGAATAAACCAGATGAACCAGATGATTGTTTTGCTTGCGGCGGTCGCCGCTAAATTAAGATTTTACTTCAAGATGTGGTTTTTGAAGAAAATCCTCGGTCTGATGGGTGCCATTCAATCGGAACCAAGGTTGCGAATGGCACTTGTTTACCAGTATTCTCAAGAACGGTTGTACATGGATGTATGGGAACAGGCACTTCTTAATAACCGCAGGACCAAACCACTTAAAATACGTAAATATTTTCGTTCATTTCAAGTGTGTAGAGTCTAA